ATTCTCAGAGGTCGTAAGGCCAAAAAAACTTTTGGAAGGTTAATATCTCATTGTGAATAATTCTTAAGGTTTGCCATGTTTTGTATTTTATCCCTTATTTATCTACATTTGAATAAAATGTCGCCAAAAATATCTTTAAAAATATCTTTTTAAGATAGCCTAATTAGAAAACATATTCTAATGATTATAATATTAATATGATAATGCTGAAGTTTAAAGGCTGAAAGAAAGAACTCGGTACATGTGAAATACTGCAAAAGATATGATGCAATAATATGATGGCGCATTTTTTCAATCTGCGGCGTAAAAATATATCGGAAGCAGTAACCCGGAAGTCTTGAAAGAGCAATTTTACCACTAGCGCCACCACCCTTAGCTTTACACGATCACCCATCCATTGCAATATTTTTACGTCATTGAAAAAAGGTTTTTACCGCGAACCTTTTCGTGATAATGAAAATAAAGTTAAAACTCAAGGTTGTCGTAAGGTTACATGCTTTCTGGGATAAGCCTAAGAATTCACTGGAAGTTTAACTAAATTTTTTCCGGTTTTAGGATGTTTGTTATTTCTTACATTGTTGTTGTTGTTCATTTACGTCGCACTAGAGCTGCACAATGGGCTATTGGCGACGGTCTGGGAAATATCCCTGAGGATGGTCCGAAGACATGCCATCGCAATTTTGATCCTCTGCAGAGGGGATGGCACCCCGCTTCGGTAGCCCGTCGACCTGCACGCGAAGTCGAGCACTTTACGGTAGAACAGTTTAATGAGGACCCATACCGCACACCCTCGGTCCCACCGCAGGCTGATCCAAGTGGTCATCCACCCGCACACTGACCGTAGCCAGTGATGCTTGACTTCGGTGATCTGCTGGGAACCGTGTCTTAACGATCAGTCCACTGCGGGACATTTTCTTACATTCAATCAATCATCCATTCGAGCGCTGCGATCGCGAATGAGTTGTAAAGAAAGCAACTAAGAAGATTATTTATCGCACTGGTAACGAAACATTCGTCACCAATTTGACGCAGGTAAATCAACTAAAATCATTCCCACTGCTATAAGTAGATTTTATTTTGGAATGATCGGTGCTTGAAACCAGTGTTAATATTGGAACGCGTTCAAGAGTTTTTAGTATATTCATGAGGAATCTTGCGCGAAGCAGAAACTGGCATGCCAAAGCTGTTTGCTTAAAATCAAATGAGAAAACAAAACATTCAACTTGGTATAAGTGTAATATGGCATTTTATATTGAACAAGTTTCCATTAATTGTTTCGATGTAATTTTGTTATTGATATGTTTATTTCATTAAGAACTTTGACTGTTATTGTCTTCTTTGTATATTGTGCGCTTACGTGCTATACTGGTTATATCTTGCTAAAAAATAACAGCGGAAAAGTTGTAAAACATACACATCGAAAATTATCTCTACCAGGTAAGATGAGTAATAATTAGATTTGATTATATAATTATCGTTGTTTTACTATAATTTGCTTTATTCTTTCAATCAAGTTAACTGAACTTTAGAAAGCTTTCCGAAGTTGCGGCTAAAAGAATGTTTATGGACGGTGTTTAATACTGAAATGTTTGAATAAATAAAAATACTTGGAATCGGAAGAATTTCGTATAGGTACCTGTGCCAGAAAAGTCGTTAGATTTCGATGGCAACCGGGCATTGACACATGAGAAACTTTAAAAAAAAAAAAAAAAAAAGAACTTCACTCAAGGGGAAGAACTCGTAAGGATACATTTTGTAGTACCTCAAGGGTATACCACAACATAGGTATATGCTTTTTTAAAGTACAAAAACTCTGTGGTGCCTTAGCAATGGTAGTAAGTGTGATTAGGCCCCAATACAAATATGTTCCCAAATATTAGAACTATGAGTATAAAGTTTTAAATTGCACATTTTTTTCTTCTAATTTGCTGAGTTGCACCAATTTTAATGCCACTGAGTACTGGGGACTAAAGGCTTCACTCACACAGACTTAACTTTAAAACTTTTACAGAATCTCATTTAGGTGACAATTACTCCTCCATGATCTTCACTCTTTTATTTCATTTCTGTTTGATTTTTTCATTTTTTTTTTGTCTTAACAACAAGCAAGGCTGATATTAAGTAATCATTTTTAAATTTCTTTATGTCTTCAATTCAGCTATTCTCTGAACAACGTTTACGTCTGTTGGTAGACAATTCCTTTTTCTTTAATAACTACTATTCAATTCCTGCAGATTTTCCATATTTGATACAATAATTTGCTACATTAAAACTTAGATATTTATAAGTAAACAAATTCTGATTGGAGTCAAATATATTTCTAGACTGGATTGATTGAGGTTGAAATTCACTTTTATTCTTGCTCTATGCTTGCATTGAAGGGGCATCAGAAAAGAAAACTTCATTTTTATTTTTCTCACATTGAAATTATTAACTCTATAATTGTGTCAAGTATGTGCTTGCTGGTAGAGCTCAACTGCCTTCTCACATTTTTCTGGAATGATAGAGCATCATCCATATTTTAATTATTTATTTCTTGTTTTATTTGTTTTGAAATGGAGAATCTGCTTTTATAAGAAATTCCTACTTTTTTTACTTTTGAGTCCAATACAGTAGTATAGTCAAGTCAAAGTGGTCTAGTTAATCAAGTCTGGAACCTTATTCATTATGGGCAAGAAAATTCATAGTTAAAAATAGAATATTTTTATTTTCTTGAAAAATCCCCCCCCCCTCGAAAAAAAAACAATACTTAACGAAAACTCGATGTCACGATAAATTATACTTATTCAATATCTGTCTATCAAGAAGACATTTGTCCAGGGTGTGTTGATTTAAATCACGATTTAAATCATGATTTAAATCAAATGATTTTTTTAAAAAAAATCATTGATTTAAATCAAATGATTTTTTTAAAATATATATTGATTTTAAAAGTTAAAAAACAGTGTTTCAATTATTGATACTTTTATTATTTTCTTTTCTTAGTTTTAAAATTTATTTTAAATAAATTGCTACATTAATTAATTTTAGTTAATGAAATTTCTTTCTTGATGTGTGTTAAATTCCAACACATTTGAAATTACATTTTTGAAAATCTATTGATTCTTGAGATTGAAAGTACAGATTAAAGTAAACATTTAATGCTGTCGTAATGTAGACTTGCATAGCTGTAGAAATTAATTAATAAACATGAATTTAAAAAAAAAAAATGCAAATAATGTTAATTAAAATTCTACCTTTTGATTGAAAAAGCATGGATTTAAAATCTACATTATATTTTATTGATGTAGCATTATAAATGAATATTTTAATATAAAAATATATAGATTAAATATTTATTTATTTTTTGATGAATGACTACATTTATAAACACAATCTATTACATTTATTTTGTCATTTTAAAAATCTAGAGGAAAAAAAAGAAATCACAATTTTAAATAAAAATTATGGTTTGCTAATTGAAACTTTGCTTTAATAGTTAAAGTACAGGGGTCTGTCCAAGCCAAATTTACTACCGTTTAGTGCAGTGTTTCCCAACCTTTTTTGTACCATGCCCCACCTAAGCCTTTCTAAAATTCTTATGCCCCCCTATGTAACATATACATAATTTTTAATATTAAAAAAATCGAATTGTTCACTTAAGAAACTTAGGAAATTGTTAGCGAAACAAAGTAAGTAAATTTTCAGAACATATAATGAAGAACTAAAATTCAAATTCGAAATAATTTTAACAAATATTTTTCTATAATAATTTGATATTTTAATTAAGTGAGATTCTGGCCCTCGATGCTTGCTGCACGTAGATTTTATCTTAGGTTCCAATTTGGTTAGCCTCAGTCTCAAGTCTCCCCGTTGTGTTATATCTAGACGATTTTTTTTTACCAATAAAATCATTTACAGCACTAAATCCACATTCAGCTAAATATGAAGATGGAATCGGTAACAATAGTTTTCTTGCACATTTGATTGAATTTGGGTATTTGTTTTCTGTTTCCTCACGAAGCCATGCCATCACTCCTTTCATATTAAATAAAGTTTTAACTGACTCATCATTTTGCATTTCTGCAAGTTCTTCTTGATATATTTGATATATCAGACAAATCCACTAACATGGACTGCAACATCCATGTTGGAAAATAAATTTGTTTTAAATCAGAATATCTTTCTTTTAAATCAGCCGATAGAATTTTCAGATGATAGACAATAACAAGTAAAGGGGTATCATTTACTTCACATTTTTGGAGCCAATGAAACTGTTCAAAGTTTTTGTTGTTAATATATTTCTGACATAACACAATAAGGGTAATGAAGCCAAATATCTTCGCTTTTGCATCAACAAGAGTTTTATTTGCTCCTTGAAGTTTCTTATTTAATATATTCAGTTTTTCAAAGATATTGATTAAATAACTCACAAATGCTTTACCATCGACTGTAAACAGATACTTCATTTCAGGTTTGTCACTTAAAAAATCCCTTAGTCACATAATATTTATGGACTGCAATTATTTAAGAATTTGCTTCTTTCTTTCGATTTTGTCACCGAAATCTCGCATTGCATTTAAATGGCCTAGAGCAAAAGGTTTAAACTCATGTCGATTTCATATTTGAATTGCCCCCCTTTGCAATTAAATTGCCCCCCGGTGGGGCGTGGGACCCACATTGGGAAACACTGGTTTAGTGGTACCTTCACAATTTCAATGTTAGGAAAAACTAGAATAATTTCACAAAATACTTTTTCTTAAAATTTTATTTTTGTGTCTTGTAAGAAACGATAAATCCATATTTTTACTATATTTTTGTGTTGATTTGTTAATATAATTTTTTATTTTCGCAAATTATGTCGAAATTTTCACAAAATAAATCTCTCAGAAAAACCTAAACAGACCTGAAAACCTAAAACCCTGAAGTATTTTAAATTCTCTATTTCATCTAGTCTTTAAATTTTAATCATGCATTTGTTCCAAAATGGTTGCCCTGCATTCAAAGCTATGTATTATAACGAAAAATAATTTTAGTAAGTTAGAGCTTCTAAAATATTGTTATAATATAGTTTTAATGTTAATTTAATTTTGACTAAACATTTATAAAGTATTTTTAATCATAAATTAAATTTCTTACCTTGTATTTGAATAAAAAATAAAAGAAAATGTGATTTAATTTAAAAAAATCCGATTTAAATAAAAAAAATCACGAACCCTGCATTTGTCACACTGGAGGAGTTCTTTCACAAAATGACTTCATCCAACAGGAAAATTTTACTGTAATTTTGTTTTAATTTTCAAATTAGTTTCATCAATTCATCAAAATCATGAACCTTGCATTTGTCACACTGGAGGAGTTCTTTCACAAAATGACTTCATCTAACAGGAGAATTTTACTGTAATTTTGTTTTAATTTTCAAATTTCTGCTTAACTTTAAATATCTTCAAAAGCATAAATTGTGTCTTTGTGATAAAAATTAAAGTAAATTTTCATGAGTAAATTGTATTTTGTATATTTTTTAAGCTCTCTATCTTAGCTAAAATTCCTTAGACCCCCCTCCCCCCAAATGAAATCCTTGCTATGTCGCTGGTATAATATATATTTATTGTATGTTCTAGCATTATTCTTAGAAATTGTGTTTAAAGGTGTGAGCTATATTTTAAATTTATTATAATTTAAGTGTAATTTTAATGATTTTTTTAAATTGTCAGTTTTTAATTTCATTATTATTATATAATTCTACTTAGTCAAACAGTTTATTTATTTAAAATTTATTTTATGAATTTAAATTCTTTGCTAAATTTAGTGATAATATATTATGATATATTATCCTTTTAAAACTTTTTCTCCCACATTTTTTGTTTGAAATTAACGAAAAACTACCAATCAAGATTTCATTACATAATTTAATTTCTATATTGTTTGTTTGAACTAAAAATTATTTTTCCTATCTTAAGCTTGAAAAGCAAAATCTGTCCCTGATTATGTTTGAAAAAATTTATTTACTCTTTGTTTTGATTTGACTGTAATTGTTATCACTACCACTAAGCTTTACTAAATATTTTAATTCTTGCATTTTATTTTTAGATGATTTTGAAGAATGGAACCCTTGGGGAGAGGAGTTCGAAAGAGAAAAACAAAGTTTTAAGTCATTTGTGGTTCAAAAAAGTGTTTCAAAATGGTGGACTAATCAAAGTTTAGATTTCAGAAAACAGTTTTATAAATCTAAAAAAGATCAATCAAATTTATCATATGAGCCGACCAGTATTGAAATTTGGGGTAAAGCTGCTATAGGTAATATTATATGTTCTGATTAGTATTTCACTGTGGATAACTCTAATAAATCTGATAGTGTTTTGGATATTTTGATCAAATATTTTATTTTTTTACTTAAATTTAAATGCAAATATTGTATCAAATGAAATTTTTTTTAAATGTTAAATAAAGTTAATAGGTTTAGTATTTGAAATAGAAATTTTACATGCAAAATTATTTGTAGTGCAGTAATTTCTAATCTATTATTAGCAAAATAGTTTTTCCAATATTTTATAGTTAATTTGTTGTTTCTGAATAAGAGCCAATAAATTTTGGAAAATTTTCGTAAGCGGAAGGATGGCTTATATTCGGATCCACTAACTTTGAAAAATTCCAGGAGGATATCGTCTGCAGAAATATAACTCCATTTGTTGAGCATTGCAATAATCCTTTAAGTGTATATAATCAATATAAATCTGTTAACGATAATCAATATATATTGTGAAATATGCATCTAAGAAAAAAACAACATAAAATAATAGTTAAAATAGAGTGCCTAAATACAAGAATTCAGGGCCTATGCTAACCATTCGCAACCTTGCTTTGATTTGTTTAAAGCACTGGAATGGACATATTCATAGCTGGTGTTGAGAAATCTAGCAGTAAATTAGCTTTGATTTGAAATTTCTCCACTAGAGGGCTGATATTCTATGCAGTAGAACCAGTCTACCATTAAACCACCAAATAGTAAGCATCGGCTTGCATTGGTTGTATAGTAATGTTTAACTTTTAAATAATCTGAAGGGGTCCACATGGAACATGGAACTTGTTTTGTTTAAATAAAAATTTGTTTTGTTTTCATTATTGATTGCACTTCCCTTTGTGCTTAGCTGGCACTACCCTGAAATTTTGAAAAATTCTCTGCAAAAACATCAGTTTTAACCAAAATCCCCAGAATTACTTGGAAACGAAAAAGTGAGACTGTAAACAAAAACTGAAAGAAAGAGAAGTGGGGGAGAAAGGAATGCACCTTTTTATTTCCAAGCATAGTATGCCTTGTTTTTTTTTTTTTTGTTTTTTTTTAACGTCTCATATGCGAGCTTTGAATTTTGGTTGAATATAAAAATAACAATTGTACTCTTCGGCTTGTACACAGATGGGCTTATATTCGAAAATTTTCAATATTATGATTATTTATATTTTCAACATTCATTTTATCAAACATGTTATTGATTATAATTGATATTTTATGATTGGTACCGTTTTAACACCCCTCTCCAAAAATGCATATTTTTCATCAAAATTTGAGGGAGCATTTAATTGGTATTTTACAGTAAGAGAATATAATGAGCAAGAACATTTTTTGGCTTTAAAAAAACCTTTAAAGAATGTTTTTCTTCTTCTTTCTATTCATTGTTAGTAGTGATTATTTTACTTAATGATTTTTACATTGAATGCAATTTGTTTTCTTCTAACAATTATATTTTTATCCCTAGTTTATTTATTGGTGATTTTTCAGGGCTCTATCTATGGGAACACATTCTTGGAGGAAAGTTGGAAAATAAAATGGATGGAATATGGAGCTATGGTTTCAAAAGAATTGATAATCTAAAGTTAAAGTAAACATTAATTCACTTTATAAAATTTTTACTGATATTTTTAGTGATAATAATGTTAATAATTTTCTACAACAAATAAAGTAAAATTTCTTTTGATATTCAAAATATGAAGTCTAGCCTCTATTTGGGTTGTTCATACTTAGTGCTATTTTAGTTAAAATAACTAGAAATTTTAAGCTCCCTATTTTTACGAAACAAAATTATGAAATTCATTATTACCAATGACTCCAATAAAGTATGAAAATATAGTTAACTGGTAAGGGTTTACAAATCTTGGATACTAGGTCATCATGGCATCTAAAATGTTGTAGCTGGTGTCAAGTATTTTAATAAAATGTAATATTAACATTAAATTAACCATCTAAGCTGCTCTGTACTTTCCATTCTATAAAATGTTGGCTCCTAGAAATTTGTCCCGGCTTCTTGAAAGCTTGTATTTTTATAGACGCCTGTTAATTACGTTTTGGAGATAATAATATAGTGCACATTTAATTGGAGAAATATTGAAATTTTTGACATAGCCTAATTATTTAGAATAGTTAAATAAAAATTTTGTCTAGTCCCAAATCATAACATAAAATTAACTATACCATTTTTCCTCATGTAAACTTTCAAAAGTTCTTACAGCTTAAATTGTGCCTGTTCATTTCTTTGATTTGCAATTCTTAATTTATCTTTTACTGGTCAATTGAAAATTTGGTATTATTTTATTTATTAAATGCACTTATTACATATAGTTTTATTTTTTAGGTTCAGAACTGGACCCGGAGTTATTGTTTCAAAAGCTCCTAATGATGTACAAAATTTGTTATTAATACTGAATGGTAGAAGTGAAGACAAAATTGCATTTGCAAAAACATGGCTTGATGTTTTGCCACAATTTCATAGTTTACGATCTGTTCTTTTGTTCATGCTTGGTGATGAACAATGTAGAAATGACTGGTTGATTCCTTATATGGCTAGATCTGGTGGACTTATAAACATGACTTTTATAGTTTACGATTCACCTCTTGCAAATAACATCGATATTTTCCAATGGCCGTTAGGAGTTGCCACGTAAGCTCTTAGCTTTGTAAAATTTGAAATTTTTTCTATTCTTTTAAAATATACAATGTACACTAATTGTTTTGAGCAGTTTATATGCATGCATTAATGGAAGTTTTTATTGTAGTTATTGTATTGCATCATCACTTTATTAGAAATATTACAGTTTGTCCTAAAAATAAAATGTTAATAGTGGAACAGTGTTTCAAGCCCACTGATGTCTTTATATTATTGGATTGATAATCTAATGCTTCGAGCTTAAAGCATAGGTTATCTGGTATTTCAGCATGATCCCTCTTTCACTGTCCTCGTAGCTTTTACCCTTAAATCATCTGCTATTTTTTGTGCGTATTGTTATGTGTTATTAGTTATTTTATTAGTAAACATGGATACATTATTTGTAAAAAGTGAAGTATTAAGTATACTGTAAAGTATTGTAAATTAAAAAGTAAAACTTAAAGTATAAAGTAAAGTGTAAAGTAAAAGGTAAAGAATTGTAAAGGAAAAGTAACTAAAATTTATTTTTTCAATAAATAAAAATGAAGCATACTTTGTTGAAATAGCATAAATATATAAACTTCATAAGAAGAATTACCTAAATACTGTTTATTTTTTTTATAAAATGATCCAACAATTTTTAAAATAATATTTTAATAGGGCAATCATGCCCGTTGACATTAATATTAAATGTAAGAGCTGAACCTGACCTTGGAATGAGTTAGCAAGTAAAGCAAGCTTCATTTCTACCATTGAAGGTTGTACTGTATCAGTAATCCAGTAGTATATAAAGATCAGGGTTCAGGCTCCCAGATTTATTAGTACAACCCTCTAAATGTCGAGGAAGAATGTTGAAAAACCAGTTATAGTAGAACCCATGTAAGTCAATTATTTGTGGTACTATACTTAAGTGGCCAACTTAGACAGGTGGTCAACATATTGAGAGGAATGAAACATTGTTTCTTTCTTTCTTTTTTTAAAAATAATTTCTTATATTACTCTTATATTCATGTTATTCACATATTTTTCATATTACTAATCAAACTAAAGATCAGTTTTTTAATGTGATTCTAAAATTTTATTTGGCAAATACTTATGTATCTTAAGAAATGAGATTAATTTCGGAATGAATAGATTAACTATTAAACTCATTAGTTAAAAAAAATTCCATATTTTCTAGTGATGCAAGTTATATGCCAGTTAAATTTAACATGATATTCATTTCAAACTTTTAAAATTCATTTTGTTATATTTACAAGCCTATTGTTATATTTCTTTGTTACAGAAGCCTTAATGGTTTTACTATATAGAAAGAGTTTTATGTTAGTTTACAATATTTCACCAATTAAGTCAAATTTTAATAAATGACTTAGTATAGGAAGTTCCCTGAAAATTTTTTTGGTCATTTCAGGAAGGGCTTAGAATGACACTCAATTACACATTTTACCTATTTCTGTGGTCAGCATGCAAGATAGACAGGTGTCTGGTTACAGAGGTTATGCTCCCTTTTGTTATATAGGAAAAATTTGGCTCCTGATATTTAGGATCAACTACAAGACAAGCGATCAATTTACAAGAGTGGTCAATTTGACAGATTTTTCTGTATGTGGAAAATGAAATTGATTGTAATATAAGAGGGCATTTTTTGAGACAAGCACCTTTGTACCTTTTATTACTTTAAGTGTTTTGTTTTTTTTGGACAAAATTGATTACTGTTTTATAAGGATCTGTTTTATACATGGGTGAAAGTACTTCCATCTTGTAATAAAATAAAAGATAGAAATTAGGACAAAAAATGTTTTTTTTTGCCCAGCATTCTCTGAGAATATATTGGGGATATTTCCAGAGGCACGGAACAGTTCGGGTCATTGCAATTTCGTGCAGTTCTTATTCTGTATGTAGGGAGAAACTGTCCCCACTTTCAATAAATAATTTCTTGTGGAAAAAATTTTAAGAATATGACTTCGGCTCATGTGTGAATTTCTACTCTAGGATTCTCGTAGCCATCTGTTATTGCAGTTCGCCACAGTTGTCTAGATAGTCATGATGGCTGATAAGGTGATAGCTGAAATTGGAATATAGCAACTTAATTGTGTGTTTCATTTTCATTTAACCACTGTTTTCTTGATCATTGAAGTTGGTTTAATCAGTTACTTATTCTAACGATTTGTTTAATATTTTTTTATGATGAATTCCGATAAATTTGTTAAAATATTAAAAAATGATTTTGATGATAAATCTGTAAAGAATAAATGGAGATGGTTGCACCATAAAGATTCTAAAGACCGTCTGTTTGCCAAATAGTGTCAGAAGATTCTAGAAGCCAGATGTTATTTGTTCAAAAAAGCTCAAGTATGCAAAGAACAAAAAAAGTGCTCACCAAACACTACCGAGACAAAGACCACATAAATCGATTGGCTTGCCAGGATTTAACTTAAACATTGGCTGGGTCATCCGCAGTGATTGCTCTGTTGTCATTGACAGAATTATGGATCTAAAAGTGATTATTACTGCATTTATCAGCGAAAATGGCTTGCCTTTTTCAATTGCACCAAAGTTGATTGATTTAGTAAATGTTTGGTGTGAAGACAAGCTTGCTCTAAAACACATTTTCTCTGTCCAGATCTGCTACTACATATATAACTATGTGCAGTACTGCGAAATGTATGTGTGCAGAATTGGTAAAGAATTTAAAAGGGAAACATTTTCCCCCATCAATCTGGAGGAAGCTACCAATGATGCTTCAGACAAAGTAATAAATAACTCAATGCGTTATTTTGATGACAGATGAAAAATTGTAGTGACTAATTTTTTTAGGTTGAAGGAAGAAAACATAGCCACTTCAAAGAATATTTTTTGTAAGTTATTTGAATTAAGAAAATGACCTCTCTTCCCAGCAGGTAATAAGTTGCTTGGTTCATAATTGTTCAACTAGGAAAGTATATGAAACTTCAATGCGAAAGGAGAATGAATTTCTGTAAGATATATATATATATATATATTGTTCATAATGCTAGTAATGCTGCTAAGCAGTTTTGCACTTATTTTGTCTATCATGTTGAAAATATTTACAGTAAAATCACTATATTTAAGACTTCAAAACTAAAATCTTATTTTTTTGGAATGCAATGTCATTTGAAATTTGATGTTGCAAGGAATGGCATTTGGCTATCCTACCAGATTCTTCTACCTTTCCCAAGTTTGTGACGGATTTGCTTTACTGAATGATGCCCCTTTTTACTGCTCATTTTTAATATATGAAGACCAAGAAAAAATGCATTGTATGTTGAAGCCATCTATACTTCTAAGGAGGTTTCTCCTGTGCAAAGATTGAAATCTTGAAGTTAATGTGCAGCATTGGGAAGTAAAACAATTCAACAGCTGGTCAAAAGCGAAAAGATAGTATTTTATTAGTACTTCTTAATCCTAGTGAAAAATATTTGTTTTTAGTTAAATTTTATCAATGAATTCTTCTTAAATTTAATTCCTTCCTGAAAAAATTCGAGAAGGATCTTCCAATGATGCAGTTGGTTCATGAAGAAGTGTTCTTTATTTGAAAAAAATTTCTTTGTTTATGTAACTGGAATACATACCAAGAGAAAGAGTTAAGAAACTTTTTTAACTTGATGTGAAAGGCATTTCTAAACAAAGAAGAGATAAATATTTAGATATTGGAGTCTTGCTCACAGGGTGCATAGCGTTTTTAAAAAGTGCTTAAAGTTGCTTATTTTTAATTTTCGTTTATTTTAAAACCCTTAAAGGTGCTTCTTTTTATTGGGTGATTGGCTATGTACCCTGAGCTCACATAATGAGATAAGACCTAAAGCCATCTTATTTTAAAAGATTTTTATAACAAACTAAAAGATGCATTTGTGATTTGCAGTATTTATTTGTTACACAATCTTCCCCTCCAAAATAAAACACTTCTTTATTTATCTTGCCTGAACCCTGCAGTCAGAAGACAAGAGTTTTCTCATCTCAGCATTCTCATTTATTGTTTTCAGTAAGCTAGCTGAAGCTCTTCCCCTTGTCTTGCGAAAGGAAAAAGTTCCAACTTTTCTTGCATTGATAAACTTAAAAATAATGAAAGTGCGCTGAAATATTTTTTACTTTCTGTATGCTGAAAGCTTTACAGTAGTATAAAAGAGATTTTCAATATCATGGAAGATGTTGCTGCTGGTGATAGGTCAGTTTTGAAACTGAAAACCATGACGCAACATCTATAATCAGATATAACTTACGAAAAATATCATTAATTGATTTAAGGCGTACTTCTTTGTTGAGGAAATGTGTTCATTACCCTTACAAATCCTATAAAGATTACTTAGTTAAATAAAAAGTAAGCGGGTTTCACATTTTTTTAGGAAAAAAGCTTCAATATTCTGTAATGCAGTAAACACTAAAGTTGGAGGTGGAGACACAAAGAAAATCATGTCTCTTTCTAGTGTAGCAGCAGAGCCTGTAAATGTTCCAATTTCGTCAAATGGCAAGCACTTGGAGCCTTCAACAACTAATGAGAATGTTTCCAACAACTTAAAAAAAAGTTCACTAAATAGTCCTAAAAAAAGATTAGCGAAATTAAGATATTTTTTCTTCTAAAATATGTTAAATTATTGTCAATTATGTTTTTTGAAAGCTTTTTTTAGTTTCATTTGTAAGTTTGGAGTACCCTTCATTCGTCATAGTTGTTTTGTTATTCTTCTTATTTACTTAACATGGATTTTTATAAGAGATATGCTTTTTTGTTATATTTAAAGGAGTATTGCTTAATGTTAATTGGTTTAATTTGGGTTTTGCTGTGAGGAAAACAATTTAAATATAATATTAAGTATGAAAACTCCTATAGCTTAGTATATATATTTTTTAATATTCATAAATAATGTCATTTTCAATTTTAAAAAACCAGTGAAATTTTGATACTTTATATTTCGAAAAATGTTTCTTATTAAACTTTGAAATGATAGTTATTAATTTTACAACCATTTCCAAAAATTATTAGAAAGTGCAAATGCTTCATGAAATAGGCTTTATTAGGTTATTTATCGATAAATATTTTCCAATTAGATTCAACCAAAAATATTCAACCAATTAGGTACTGCAAATAGAAAAAATAATCATAAATAATTATTGCAAATAAATTCTTTTATTATTATTATTTTTTGTAAAACCTTGGTGTCTACAGTTTTATTAATTGTAAATATGTAAAATAATGTTTTCAAGGTAGAAGCAAATTATATATCAATGTTATCAATAATAATGTAATAATGTTGCATAGTATATATATAATAATAATGTTGCATAGTAAAATTAATAATGTTAATAATGTTGCAATAATAATGTTGCATAGTAAAATTTATTAAATGTTCAGAAATAATGTTATTTTCAAATGTATTAGTGATACTTAATACTTTTTAGAAGTCTTCTATAAAATGAATGTTTAGTAATTTTTTAACAATAAACCAAAAATATTGTTACTACTAAGGAACTGTAACTTATTAGAAAATGTAAATGCTATATGAAGTATCCTTTATTAGATTATTCATTGACAAATATTTTCCAATTGAAAAATATTCAAATAATAAAGTATTGTCTAAATTTTATTGCAAATAGATTATTTTATTATTTTTGTAGAACCTTGGTGTTTACAGTTATATTAATTGTAAATATAATATGTAAAGAAAATTGTTAAGGTAAGAAAATTATGTCTAAATATTCATATTTTTCAGTAAAATAGTTTTAAATATTCAAATTAAAAAAGTTATGTGAATATTAAAGACATTTTTGATACTTACTATTCTTTAGATATCTTAATTACTCCTTGAAGTCAATGGTGAAGTATTGTTTCGAACTGGGATATTGTTAGTATAAAAATATCAAAATGTAACTTATTGGAAGGTGTAAATATTCATGGTAATTATACTTTGTTAGATTTATTATTCATAAATACTTCTGAATTCATTCAAAGTCATTATGTATATTTCATTGCAGATAAATTATTAGATATAAAATTATTTTTTTGTTGAACATTTATCTTCACTGTTTAACATTTAGAAGTAATTAGTTCTTTTGTCAAAAATATAAGAGCTGATTAAATTTATATTATTAATCATACATAATTAAAATTCTTTATATATAGATAATATCATATTTGAACTGAAACAGATTTGATTATTTTTCAAAAATATTTCAAATAACCATGTTGAATAACTGCCAGTTAAAAAAATCTTACAAAGATTTTCATTCTTAGTTCCAACTGACTACTTTCATCCATGGTTTTATGTTGTAGATTTTGAAAAAGAATATTCTCTTACAGATACAGAGGGTTTCCAAAAGTTGATCCAAAAAAGCTTGATTTAGAAAATACAAGACCTTACATATGCAATTTCTTAGGTTCTATCTATCCTCGTTCTTCCCGGGAAAAATTAATGAAAGTAATTCAGCATCACAACTTAACCCAGTATTGTTTTATCAAAGCTAGATATGAGTATGTATATTTTACTGTTTACTAATCCATTCATTTTTCTGTTATCCATTCAATTTTTTCCTCAGTATTAGGTAACTCTTCATACTAATGCTATGTTTTTATGGTATACAGTTATGCAGTAAAAATATACTTAAAAAATAAAATAAAAAACTATATCAATATAACTTTGATAGTTTTTTAGATAGGGTAAAGTGTTGTACTTTGGGAGAAAGACAAATTTATTAAAAGTCTAATGACGACATCAGCATTATTTTTATTTCTAAATCTGACCTTAACCGATATACGACATCACAGCAAAAGTTGAAACCAAAGATTTGAAATAATATCTTGGTTAGAGAAAGTTAATTTCATTATTCAAAAGTAAATTTTAATTTTATTTTCAAATTAATTAATAAAACGGTTGTGTGATTTATGATTAGACAAAGGAATATCCTTAAATTGTTATATTTCATTGTTTATTCACGGGCAAATTTTAAACAATTTAAATAAAAGTTTCTTTTTCTAAATAAAACTTTCCACAAATATTAATTATTTTTTTCGATTTCAAAAATGTTATTACTAGAAATTTATAAAAATTCTTTGAATATTTCAAATTATGAATTTTACATGAGATTTTCAATATCAAGTCAACCATTCTTTAAAATTTCCTCTTTAAACACAGTATATCTTGAAATCAGGCCCACAATAAACTTCAAAAGTTAACAACTATTAAAATAATTGTTGTAATTTTAATGGTATAATTATAAACTAATATTTTTACCATTTGTTCTCTCAAGCAATGTTTTTTTTTTTTTAAATAGTCTTTTCAACATACAATATATATGTTTATATTAATACAGGGTTTCCTGTAACTATTCTCTTTAATCTATGTTTGTAGAATGTTTGTCATAAGTGAATTGAAAAATTATACAAATTTGAAGTTACAAGCAATATCTAGGAAAATAACAAAAAGTTACTAAAACCTGAAAAATTGCTTTTGAGAAAATACTCATGTTAATGTTTCTTTAGATTTTTATATTGATTTTTTTTCTTAAAGATAAATTTGAGGCTTCTATTGTGTATTTTTATTTCACTTCATTTTTGACATGGATTCTAATAGTAGGTATTAAGGAAGGTGATATCAGAAAACTCCATTTAATTATCTCCCCAATAGATGCAAATTATATGACTGGGGTGGCATGATTCAAATAAGTTTAGGAATCCCTTGTTTAGATAAATAAATTTATGATTCTGTTTCTTAGGACACTATTACGCTCTTTTTGCTAAACAGTAAATTATTTATATAGATAAATTATTTATCGCAATTCTGAATAAATTAAATTTTGTTTCTTTGTTAATTAAAAAATTGATTTAACCCGAAAATAAATTTTTTCTGAATAGAATTTGAAGTTTTATTTGTTTTGCAAAATAGTGAAAGATTTTATTTTACCAATCAGTCTATTTTATAGTCACATTTCTTATGATTGAATTACTTATTAAATACATTACATTTTAATGTTTTCTGTTGTTATTCTAACAAAAATGTAGCAAATACATTGCCTAAAATCTTTAAAATCTTTTTTAAAATTAGGTGGCAGCCTCGTGAAACAAAGAATTCTTTGCTATTGTATGTGCAGAGTTTACGCCTTTCTGATTTAACATTAAATCCTGTTGGAATGAATAGCGAATGCTATCGCATCTATGAAGCTATGGCATTTGGTTCCATACCAGTTGTTGAAAATGTGATGACTCCAGGAATGTGTGGTGGTCCAAAATCGCCTCTTCGTTTGTTGAAAGCATTTAATGCTCCATTAATTTACATAAATGATTGGTCTGAGTTGCCATATTTAATTTCCCAAGAATTACGAATGACTCTGGAAGAAAAAGTAAAACGAAGAATTAAAATTATTGAATGGTATGAGAATTTCAAATTGCATTTAAGGAATCAACTCATTTCTATTATTAAAGATCATATTTCTGAAAGATGATAAAAAGCTTATAATTTATTTTAAATTGTGCACAAGTTGTAGTTGACTGAGTTTAAACTTTTTATATAAAATTACCTCATATGAAAAACATTCTTTTTTTATACATGGAATACTGCAGTGAGTATTCTATATATCACAGAATACTATAAGTTTATTATTCTTGTGTTAAGCTGTAAACTAGTTTTACAAACTTTATTTCATTTTGATTAATTGTTTATATTTCATTTGGATATCAGATGTACAAAATTTATAATTTTTCCACTAGTAATGTAAAATGTTTTTGTACATTGAATTTTTTCGCTCAGATTTGTTAATACTTTTACCAAAAGACTAATAATTTTTTATATTTTTAGCTTACAATAAAATGAATTTTTATAAAATGGAATTTCTATTATTTATAATTATAAGCGATCTGTTAATTTCTTGTTAAATATACAGTAAGGTGAGAAGAACAATGCAGTTTATTTTGTGAAAAATGACCTATATACTAGTTGTTCTATAATGACTGCTCCTAATATATCAAAATCTGTTTTATTGCCCTAGAAAATAGATGTGAGTTGAAAGGCTATTATTCGAAGCACCTTCCAGTTTTCAATTGCAATGAAACATTTCTTGTTTGATGTTTCAATACCCTTTATTATTACTTTTTATATATGTAGCATATGATATATTTTATTTTTTTAAGTGCCGTGTTTCAAGTGATCTATATGTAAGAATAATTTAATAGTGCTAAAAGTAGGAAAAAAGCCTCCCTGCACATGCAGTAAGTAATGAACTTGGTTTTATTTTTGTAAAATAGCATTAAAATTCATTAGAAAAGTAAAAAACCAAAGGCCAAATGGCCGTAAAAACGACAGCTACAGAAAATGGTGTGAGTGTACCATGGAATTGTACCGTGCCAAGCCATCAAAAAGTGATAACTCAAATTTGAAATTAGCGTATTATTTTAAATATATAAAATAAACTTGTGGCGATGGCTAAAAAATGCTAGATAACCAGCGAAAAACGATCAGCAAACAACATAGATTTACGATGGAGTAGTTTAGAATCGAGCTTGTTAAAAAGAATGCAAAATTTGCCTGTCATAATAACATCAAAATTTAAATACTATGTGGAAATGACCAAAAAACAATGTGTATTTACGATGAAATCGATTCGAACAGAGTGTGCTAAAAATTATTAAATCAAATTTGAAAGTCGTTGGTCGTAATAACATATTAAAAACATCGGAATGTGAAAAATTAATAGCTGTCGAAAAATGATTGAAAATTGACGGAAATTTACGATGGAATCTTCATGAGTCAAGCACATAAAAAATTTATTTCTCAAATGCGCGTATTTTTGTAACATCATGTTGAAAATATTGGAATATGGATAAAAAAGACACAAATAGGGCTAAAAAATTATCAGAAAATGTCATGGATTTACAATGAAATTGTCGCATATCGAGCGTGTCTAAAAATAATCACTGGAATTCGAAATCCTTGACTCATAATAACATCATATTAAAAACATCAAAATTTAGAAAGCATGTGTAACTGGCCTAAAAAAATCAATTGATATCAGCAGAAAGAAACGAAAAAGGTGGATTTACGCCGCAAATTAAGTGCGTAAAAGTGGTCACTCAATTCGGGCATCAAAATAACATTATATTGAAAACTTCGGAATTCTAAAAAAAGGCAAATTTGTGGAAATGGCTGAAAAAACGATCATAAGCATTACGAAATTGAAATGATGGAATCGTCCTGTACTGAGCGTATCAAAAGTGATAACTGAAATTTAAAATTGGTGTGTGATAATAATAATGTATTAAAAATATCGAAATGCAAAAAACTATGTAGAGATGACTTAAAAGCAATTGAAAAACTATATGGATCTTCAAGGATACAGACCTTTTAATTAATTTATAATTTTTTTAATATATTGGGCACGTCATTAAAATTGAAGGGTTAATGGCTGTGTTTTTTGTAAAAAAACGCAAATATTTCAGACTAATTTGAAGGACAAAAAGAGTGGAAATTCAATTTAATTGTAGGTTAATGTTCTAACAAAGACATAGCTGCCAACCCTTCCGCATTTTTACTTAGTTATTTTTTCCGCTTTTCCGTGCAGAAGATAAGATCTTCCGCATTTTACCCGGCCACCTGATAGTATAGTATTATTTATAGTATTTTCTTTAAGTCAGATGTCGCTAGGAAGTTAGCTTGCGGTGATCCTCCCTTTCCTACCATTTACGTCACATCGTTTGGTTTGACGTAATGGATTTCTTCTCTCTTCTACCAATGAGAGAAGGAATTCAGCTTCTGTTGTGAGAGTGCTTCCCGTTATCACGTGACTTCCTGTCTGCTGGTGCGAAAGCAAACGTTGAAAAAAATGACTTGTGTAAAAGTGAAATAGCAATTGGCGTATGGCGATATTTATTTGCTCATTTGATTAATCTTGTTAATTTATTATGACTGAACGAAAACAATACAAACAAGCCTCTAAGGGGTCCTATTCTCTTTAATTTCCATTTATTTCTAGATCGATTCTTGGAGTACATGATGTACGTTGCAACATATGTAAAAATGACTTTAGCATAGTGTATGGTGGTAAAACTGATATAGTCAGACACGTAAAATCGACAAAACACCAGAAAAACAAATATTTTTTATTGTAATTCTTTTTTCATAATTTCTATTAAGTTTATATATAGTGCATACTATTAATTGTAATTAAACTAATGTTAATATAAGTCCTAAAATATTTCCCTTTAATCCAGAATATTGTACCATCAAGTAGCTGGTCAAAAGCTTCTTTTAAAAATTATCTCCTTTTCTTGTTTTAAAAAAAGTTGAGTATTGCTTTTTTATACTCATATAGTGGATTTATAAATAAATAATTAATTACAATCTACTTCTTTTATAAATTTATTAGTAATTAGTATGCAGTTGTGAATCTTCTGCATTTTTAGGCATTTCTTCTGCATTTTGTTTGTCTATCTTCTGCAATTTTATAACTAGAGGTTGGCAGCTATGCAAAGAGAATTCAAAGTAACTATTCTCATAGAAAAATAACTTTTTGTCGAAGCAGAAAGTGATCAGAGTAATTTGAAAAACAATAACAGAATAAATTTAAATTAAACTGGATGTTCTTTATGATTCTCCTAACCCAAGGTATAGAATGATAAAATCGTGGCTGAGAAACAGATAATATGAAGCCTTTTTTTTTCCAGCCTCACAAACAAACTGTATTAGCTTAAATCTGCAATAATGAGCAATATAATGTAATTTTTTTGCGAACTATTGTATAGATTTTTCTTTTCTTTTAGAAGAAATTATTCTAAACTAATATTTCTATTAGTTCTTGTGACTAGGATAGGGCGATGTATCTTGATTATTGAAAAGACATTAGGATGTCTAGATTTTTCAATATTGTTTCTAGAATGGCTTTCGATAATGGACCAATATTTTTTTCTATGTAGGACCTTAATGGACATATAATGTTGGGTAAAAATTGGGGTGTCTAGATTTCTTAATTTTAGTCCCAGATAGAAATTATTCTTGTTCCAATATTGAAGCTCATTCTAGGACCAATATTGAAAAATCTAGACATCCCAATATAGGTCCCTCGGTGCATGTTCTTATGGGACGCATATTAGCCAATTTTGAGCCCATCTCGGGCTAATGTAAAATTGTTGCTAGGGTTCTAGTAATGCTCAGTTATGATAGTTTTTTCAAATGTTAAACCAATAATTTAACTTAAAAAAATATTTTTTTTCTTATTTTTTCCCTTAAATACTATTTCCTTCTTTCTTTCAAAAATGCATTTTTCTATACATAAAAATTGTTAGATTTTTAAATTTCCTCTATTTTTTTTTATTTCTTCCAATTTAAAAGTAAGAATTCCATGTAAATGATTGATTTTTTTCTAATTTTCAAAAAAATTAGCGTATTAGATAGAAAGAAAATTTAAAAACTAAAAAAGAAATCTCTATTTTCATATTTTGATTAATTTTTCATACTCACCATACAAAATTTTTGTTGTGAAAATTTTTGACAATTTCAATTTCTGCAAAATTCTTGCATCTGTAAAGTATCCAAGGCTTCCTTTAGTTTTTAAACCCATTCCTTATGATTCCGTCACTTGACCAGTGCTAATAGCACCAACAGAATTTACAGTTGATTAAGAAATGCAAGAAGAAAGCTCAGAAGAACAAACCCAGGTTACAGTGAGTGAAAAAAGTATATGAAATCGCCAATTCTAGGAGCTTTGTTTACAGAATCGTGGACAAATTTTTGAAGTAAAAATAGGAGCGAAATTCTTGTATAAACAAATTAAAATTTTCAAATATTTGTCTGCCTAAATTTGCTTTTTGATTTTTAAATCTTAATAATATTTAGAAAAAAGTATAAGGACACTGTTTTATCTTCCCTAATTATTGAGAAATGTGCATTTTTAAAATAGAAAAGGATAATCCTGTGTTAAAAGGTTGGGTTGTGAAAGAAATTTTGCGATTATCGACTTTCATTATGACATTTAAATGGTGCCCAAGGGAACTCATCTTTCTGAATTTGAAAAAAAAAAATTTTTTCTTTTCGAGAAAATATATTAAATTAACAGAAAATTAAAAGAAGTAATCAAGAAATATAAGACAGTTAATTATTAATTTCTAAAAAATTCTGGAATTTATAGTCATGATAAACGAACTAGGACACTAGAAATTTACACTTGTCTATTGAAAAGAATGATTGTAAAGAGAGCTTGCCAGAAAAAAGAAACCAAATGAAATGAGACAAAATTTGAATTCACCATGTTTATCAAGGACTTTTCAAGATATTTTCAATAAATAACCATCTTTTTTATTGAAAATTTGTGTCATGCCCACTTCTTACGAATTATCATAGGAGAAGAAGAATTAATTTTGCTAATAAATGCATCTTTCTCAGTCAAAAATGGACTGTAGTAATTTTTTTGGACTAAAGAAAATCAAACCTTGATAGACGCTCTTGCACCCCAAAAGACTATTCCTGTCCCAAACCATTTGCTCCCCAAAGTAGTTCTTTTCGATTTTTTTTCCTCGGAAGGTTTCATAAGATTTCGATAGATTTGATTTTGTTTTTGATTTGATTTTGTTTAATGCAATGCAAACATTTTTAAACCTTATAATTCAAACAGTTTTGATCAATCATTACTGAATTAAGTAATCAAAATTAATACAAATATTTAGTCGATACTATTTGGTTGATATGTGATTTTATTATTTGGTTGATATGAGATTTGATTATTTGGTTAATACTATATCTAATTTTTCGTCATCCATTTTTTTAAAACTAATTTTTTTTTTGAGAAAATAAAAAGTTAAAAAAATACTTTTTTATAGAATTCATTTAAAACCATATTTAT